CGCATGTAAAAAGGGAAAAATCTTCGAAATTTCAAGACGGAAAAATAGCCCGATGGAAAACGAAATCCTAGCACGGCAACGGAAAGCTCTCACCTGTGGCGTCGAAAAGGGCGAAAAAATTCTGAGACGTTCTCTTTGCGATACGCGACGGAGGGCGACAGGAGGGGGCGAGGTTGTGGGGGGAATGCGGGGGAGGTTACTCCCTTTGATAAGGGGCCGTAGACCTTTACCGATGTGCCCTGTGCGATTGCGGCGGCCGCTTCGCTCGCTCTATCTGTTCGCCCTTCACTTCCGGGACTTCGCCCCATGTTGCCGACTCTCTCATTTGTTTACGCGACACTCGTTTATTGCGGGGATTTTCCGATGAAATCCGGCAGCGTTTTATCAACTTAGGAACAGCGCCGCGATCCAGACGTTGCTGGATTAAGCGCGAAAACCCGTCGGTCCCGGAAAGAAACCTTTTTCCGAGGCCTTTTTTTCCAGGCTCGGAAGACTCTGTTCAGACATTGGGCGCAGTGCCAAGCCTCCATGCAGCCTCGAGAAATTAGAGTCGAGGGAATTTTTCCGGGTGGAAAGAGGTTAGGGATCAGGTGGATTACTTTTGAAAAAGATTGTACAACTTTATTTTCCTTGCAAATATAGACCGGTCATCTAAGTAAATTTTATCTTCACTACCAATAAACTATGCATTAAAGACGAAAATTACCCATGCAATTTGTTGCATGATTCCAGAACTTCGACTGCGAAGAATGTAAGTTGCAAAATCTCAGCAACATTGGAATGCCATTTCCTTTTTGCAAAATGTAATCCGGGTGAGCTACGCTGAAAAAAAATGTGGCAAATTTTACAGATAAATTCTATCATCAGTCAGTTTGATTTTCGATAGAGTGATATTGTAAGGTAAAGATAACCAGACAAGTAATAACATTTGACATAATCTTGGTCTCGCATTACCGCAACGCATTTAACAAGATGATGGCAAATGGTACCACATGTCTGGTTATCTTTACCTTACAATATCACTCTATCAAAAATCAAACGGACTGATGACAGAATTATCTGTAAAATTTGCCACATTATTTTTTCCAGCATAGTTCGCGTGAATGGAGATGTTGCATGTGTGAGGAATTTGCGATTTGACCGCTGATTTTTAAAAGTTCGCGAGAAACATGATGGTGCCACTGGTTTTCTCTGAAATCAACTCCCAAGCTCAAAAAAAGCTCTCAAGTTGAGGCCAAAATGGAGGGGATATCCCGCGCTATCCTGAGAGTCCACCTCTACATCAAGACAAACTCTCCGTGTAAAGATAGGGAGCAAATACATTAGCAGTGATGCCGTGTTTTCAGTTGTGGAGTCCCCAAATAAAGTGGCAGCCCTGTCAATGTATTTGCTCCCTATCTTTGCATTAAGACTTTGTCTTGATGTAGAGGTGGACTCTCAGGGTAGGGTGGGATATCCCCTCCATTTTGGCCTCAACTTGAGAGCTTTATATTAGCTTGGGAGTTGATTTCAGAGAAAACCAGTGGCAATAATCGTGTTTCTCGCGAACTTTTACATAAGAATCAACAGTCAAATCGCAAATTCCTCACACATGCAACAGCTCCATTATCAGTAAAAGCTACACGTTTTTTCCAGCATAGTTCACCTGAAGTGCATTTTGCAAAAAGGAGGGGGATTTTCACGGGTTTTAATGAGGGCCAGTTGCAATGTGGCAGAGACTTGGCAACGCGGGAGGAAAGCGAGTTGTGGGTGTGCACCGCGCGCTGAAACGCGGAAATTGAAGTCCCTGCAAGCAAACGTGCCGCAGCTATCAGCGCCCGATCCTGATCCTTGATTCGCCGCGCGGCGCGGCGGGCGGGCAGCCTTTTGTTTAATCGAATCACTCTCCCCATCATATAGAAGGTATCTCGATGACCCATATTTCTGACCCTCCGCTGCGCTCAAGATAAAAGGCTCCGAGGAATCGGTTACTGGCCACGCGTCTAACAGCTTATTTTACGCGTAGTATCTTGTCTGACCTATACTTCGAAAGTTGAAAGCGAAATAGCAACATGCGTTCTCCGTAACCGCTGATCACCTTTTAGTAGAGTCCCTTTATATTGAGAGTCGAGACAACACCCCCTCATGGAGTCACAATCGGGAATAAAGATTACACAAATTGAACGTTTTTTGTAATCTTTGATCGGCTCATTCTCCAATTCCTTTCACATTTCCTTCTCTCATTCCGCTTGTTTCTTATCAAACCCGTAATTCCTCGGTCCAGTCCAGATCATAATATTTGCAATTGGTGCAAATGTAATCTTTATTCCTGTTTGTGACACTGAGGAGGCCTAAAATACGGTAACCAATGAGACATGGATTCACATTGTCTTAACTCTCAGAATTAAGGGACTCTTCATAGAACTTGTGATGACTCATTAAACGAGAGGCTACCTGGTGGTGAATCTCGTCCCTAGACCACACAGAATCACCGTCAGAAGTACCTAATGTGCTGGTTACACGCTCAAATTTCCATCAATTTCCGATCAAATGGTGACTGGTGCGCACCATCTACCATCAAATTTCTGCGGCCTGCAAAAATTTGATGGTAGATGGTGGAGCTGTGGGGCTCATCCTTCATCTGATTTCCACACAACCGTGCTTATTTCATGCTTATTTCAATCAACAGCGTGTTGAAAATAAAACGTGAAAGTAAACGCGTGTGTGTAATTTGATTTTAGATAAAACCATGTTTTAAATATCTACTTATAAAATAAAATAATTCAATTAGATATTGTTTATATATTTATTTATTTGATAACCCAAGTTACAAGATTAAACAATAGAAACCTTTGAAAGTTAAGTATTAAAGTAAAATAAATTTAAATATCAAATGTATCTAAATAAGATTGAACAAACAGCGTGTTTTAATTAATTTTACTCATCAATCTAGATAACTCTCGACCGCCACCCTGGTCATCATTTTGATCGGAATTTGACGGAAAGAGCGTGTAACCAGGCCATAATGATAAGAATAAGAGGAATGTGGGGACTCACCATCTCTGGACATGCCCAGCCGAAGACATTTCTGAAGGCGACAGTACTGACATCGGTTGCGATTTACTCTGTCGACGACGCAGTTCTTGTTGCGCGGACATTGGTAGTTGACGAGGGAGCTTTGGCTCCGCCGAAAAAAACCCTTGCAGCCTTCGCAAGTGATCACTCCATAGTGAACTCCGCTGCTTTTGTCGCCGCACACCTTACACGGGATTATTTCAATCTGGGCTGTAACAGGCAACAAACATACGAACATTAGTCCGCCGTCTCGTAACGTCGAAAGATATTCAACTCATTTGTTCATATAAAAATTAGATTGATTCATAATTCATAAAAAAAGCTGTACCAAGTACGAGCCACTAGACAAGTGGACAAATACAAAATAAACTACTTAAAATGGGACTAAGTGGCGAGGCTCAGTAAATTTGAGATTCTGTTCAAGTTTTCTTTTTTATTTCCGGTTCAAAATGCGCTTTCAATAGTTGCAAACGTCCCGGTTTATACTTTTTTCCCCGGCCTTGACCCATTTCAAGTTGTTCAGTTTGTATTATCGTTTCGGGTCAATTAAGTTGTTATTTAAGAAGACAAACCAGGTTGTCTACTTTTTTTTTTTTAATTTTGAAAAATTCTTATATTTTCCTGATTCTTCCTGATATTTTATGAAAAATTTCTGATTTTTTTTCATTTTGAAAATTCCTGATACTTTCATTTTGAAATATCCTGATATTTTCCTGATTTTTCACGACTCCTGGCACGGTGGGCAAAACGCAGTAAGACTTTCTCCGCCGAGGAGATTCGCGTAAGAAAAATTCCTGATATAAAACGTCCGATTTTTCCGATTTTTCTGATATTTTCCTGATCGGCCAAAATTCCTGATATATTCCGGTTTCTCCGGTTTTTCCTGATGCTAGACACTCTGCAAACTCTGACAAGGAAAAAACTCTGTGAATTTCACAAATTTCAAGGGGTTTTTATTGAAATCGACCGTTTCTCTCCGACAGAAATCCCCGATATACACATTTGTAGTAGTCTTGGTCCATCGCTCGTAAACCAGAAGATTTCACCGGGGAAACGTTCGTCTCCCCTGAAGTTAACTGCGCAGTGACGGATATCGCTGAGCCATCATTAATATCACGCTTTGATGGGTATTAGTCTGTGTTTTGATTACAGCCATTCGAACACGGGAATTGTGACACCCCGTTCTGACGGGGATTTGTTCGGACTCCGATCACGTGGCTTCAGATTTACGGACAGGGAGCTCGTGGGCGAGTGGGCTGCAGAAAGTCCAGGGTTATCAATTTTGAAGCAAAGGGAAAATGCTTTCCTCTAGGCACTAATGAAAGTTTCCATGATTTAAACAGAAACTTGGCAACGATGGAGAAGTCACCCCTGCGCGAGGATGCAGGTTGTCAAGGGAGGCGAAGGAGCGGGGAGTGCTACATCCCACTCAAAGCTGGAGGAAAAGCTCGCGCCTCGTGGGAAAGTGTGCAAAAAACAGTTGCCAAACTTCGCGACAGAATTCATACTTTGTAAGAGACCCACTGGAAAAAAAAACACTTTGGATCTAGAGTCCAGACCCTTGAAAACATCGACAAGATAAAATACTCTTGATTCAATCAGATTTAAGCTTAAATCAAGAACCAAGCCTCGTAATTTGAGCGGATTTCCTTTTGATTTAAGTTTAAGTCTCATTGAATCGAAAGTCCTTTTTCTTGTTTTCGAATTTTCGGTCTTTTCAAATTTTCAACAAAATAAAATTAGTCAGTTACGACCCTTTTACTGATAACTATCAATTTAAACCATCGAAACATAATTCTATATCCATGTCACATGCCCTCATTCATTATTACCACGAATAAAAGCAACGGAGGTGACAAGGATTTTCGCGAGACACTGGAAAAAAACACATTGGATCTAGAGTCCATACTCTTGAAAACATCGACAAGATAAAATACTCTTGATTCAATCAGATTTAAGCTTAAATCAAGAACCAAGCCTCGTAATTTTAGCGGATTTCCTTTTGATTTAAGCTTAAATCTAATTGAATCAAGAGTCATTTTTCCTTGTCAATGTTTTCAAGAGTCTGGACTCTAGATCTAATGTGTTTTTTTTCCCCAGTGTTTAGAGATCTGGGGGAACGGGTACTTAGTGATAGATTTTTTTCTTATCGATATTTTCAAGAGTCTGGACTCTAGATCCAATGTGTTTTTTCCAGTGTACCCTCAAGGGCTATGTTAGCAACACAGCCGAAGATAGTATGAAACCCGGCCTTTCTTTTTAAACTTTCTTGCAAATGAAAGCGAGCTCAGATCGGAAGATTGCGAGTTCACGCCTCGCACTATCACGCCTTCAATTTTTCAGACGCAACACGGATATCCATCAAGCACGAATAGTTGTATCTCTGCGCCGTCGTCAACGCGTGTTCTTTTCTCTGCTCTATTTTCATATCGTGTTGGCTCCGTTTGTCTCATTAGTAGAGAATCTTGATAAGTTTGACCCTTAGAGCTCACAAATTGAGGGAGATATGAGTTCTGAAGTTCCGAGACAATATGTGTGTAGATTCAAGAAAAACGTGGTTTAAGTTTTTGAAAAAAGTTAAGGAAATTTTTCCAATGTGTTTTTTTTCCAGTGGACCTGAAATCGTACTTTCCTACACGAAAGGATGTAATCTCATCCCAACGGAGAAAAACTTTCGCTTGGACCGCGTTGAACAGAAATAAGTCGAGCCACATCAGCTACTGCCAAATTTAATCAGGCAATTTCATTTTGTGCGAAAGAACGTTTGTGCAGATTCCTTTGAAAATTTTACGGGATTTGCTGCGTACAATGGAAAAAATTGACGGTCTGCACATAGATCCGCACGACTGATTTCATGTAAAAAATTAAATAGCTCGAGTAAATTTGACAATAGCTGACGTGGCTTGGGTCCTTATTTCTGCTTAGCGTGTAGTCCAGAAGTCGATTAAATTTTTACCAGAAAACCACAAGGCTTTTCTACTTAAAAATTCACTTATTTTTAATGTGATCACTCGCAAAAATTAATCTTTTGAGAATTTTGGACAAGGATTGCACACCCATAACTTAACAGAAGAAAATCAATTGTCTAAATTGACATTTTTTGAGAAGTAACTTTACAATCCTGAGATGAAGTAGAGTACCTCCGTCTAGAAAATTATGAAATAAAGAAACCATAGTCCCCGAAAAATTTCATTTTTAGAAAGGGGAACGTCACAGAATTTCGTGGAGAGTCAATACCGATTGGAGTGTTAGTTCCTGGACGTAGTTTCCTTCGTGCGGCGGCATGCACGTCGAAATCTTCACTCCCTCGACGCGTGGGTGAAGGTGCAGTTGGCAACATTGGACTAAAAGTGCAAAATGCAACGCAGTTTCTTGACTTGGGAGCTCCCAGTTCCTAACTTGGGCGACTATTTTTAAGTCTCACGACTCGTGTCAACTCCCCCACCCCCCACCCCACCCTTGGAGTCCCTTTGTGACGTCATGCCCTCTAACTCCCTTTCCACGACCTCCGCAGGTCAAATTTTCCCCTCCGAATAACAGTCGACAATCATTCAATATCTTCCTTGCGCTTTTGAGGTACGAATAATTATTGAACTATATTTTGCAATATGATCTACAATTTCTGGTTCGGTTTGGAAAGGACGTATGTAGCATTATTTTCCCTATGCACAAACGTGTCTTCATGCATGAGCTAGAAATTGTAGTTCCTAATAGCAAAATGAAGTCCAATTTTAATGGCAATAAATCAATGTTTCCAAAATTCGATCGAGACCACTCACAGGAAAACGTACCCCACAATGAGAAAACCCGTAGGAAATTTTACCAGAAATATGGTCAAATCCCGAAACCATACCATTCTATCATGAGTCTACTTGATTTTTGACATATTGCTACTGTAGGGTAAAGATGGCCAGACATCTGTTGGAATTTAACATACTTTTAGTGAATATAATGAGAGTTACGGTTTTGCTACCATAAAGTCTGATAGTAATTACCATACTCATGTCACTGTCGCACTCAAACCATACTTTTATTTCTCAGTGCAGTCAATCGAATTTTGAAATTGAGATTTTCCTATTAGAGCGTGAAAGAGTGCTCCACATCACCGCATTTCTGGGTGAAAAATGCATTGAAATGACATAAAAAACCGGAGCTATGACTAGCTGAAGTTTTGAGGCATTCAAAAACGTAGTTTTAATAAATACCTTTGCATAGCTCCACTCTTCGTGCTTGAGTGAAAAAATGAAGCAATTACCTTACTTTTGGTGGATTTGCTTAGAGTTACAAAATTTTCTACCATAGTTTGTTCGTGATTACCATACTCATATCACTGTGCCTCAAATCATACTTTTATTCAGTGTATGACACTGATAAGCAAAATAATACAGTGAAATCCTCTTCTCCGTTATTTCGAACGTATAGCTTGCGCCTCGTAAGTAAAAGAATTAATTTAATGGTGATAAGAACGAAAGATCAACTTTCCCGCGTTTGAAAACTATCATCGTATGAATCGCACCCTTATAGTGGCCCCACCGTTGCGTAGCTGGGGCCTCGTGATAGTTTTGCATGGTGGAACTTTCCTTTACCGACCGAACGGAGGGGTATTTTTGTTAATCGTCCACTTTCGAATTCAAGTGTTTTCACTGACTCGTGAACTGAGAGGCAGTCTGTTTTGCGACAGGCTCCTCCAATAAGGAAATACTTTTGTTTGTAAAGTATTTCCTTTAGAATTTAAACGCCAGAGAAAAAAGAGAAAAATACTCAAGTTTGCTTCCATTCGAACAGCTAAAATTAAAACAAAAGACAAGAAGATCTTTCGAAATTTTACAAAAATTAAATAAATACATGTTTTCCTAAATTGTAAATTAGGAGAGATTTGAAAATGATAATTAAATCTTTTCAGGTTTTCTCTTTAGGTAACTCAAATTAAATTATCCGGCCACGAAGTAAAATAATTTCGAACCAGTTAAAACTAGTCTTGCAGTTACACCAGGGCACAACAATAAAATTGGATTTATGTGTGCCAAAAGAACCTATGCTATGGGAAAATGTATGAAATATACAAGACGTATGTGCGTACAAATTGCGTGCACAGGGTATAGTTATGCTTTTTGTATTATTAATTTTCACACAGTTATTTCAGCATAAGTGCGTTCAATTGTGAATACCCTGGAGAGAGCTAATAACGTAAGTTTCATATTCCGAATGTT